CAGCACTGTTTATTAACACATCTTGTAGCAGCACAACACAATGTTCAATTTGTCATTCAGACAAGCATAGAATACGAATGAGTCACTGCTGAATAGGAAACTTAATCAAATGCGCAAGCCAGACAGGTTGCGGTTGATGTATAATGCGGTTTTAACTGATAATGCGGTACAAGCTGTCACTGTGTTCTTTAATATTTTGACATGCCTCTGATCAGAGTACTTTGTGTTTGATCTTGCACTGGATCAGCAAACCCTGTTAGGTTTAGTATAAAGGAGAAATAAAGTCAATCCTAAAAGGTTTATCACACAAGAAGTTGTGAAGGAAATTTCATCTAAAAAATTAGAGGGGCCATGCTTAGTGTATAGTAAGCGTCATATCACTTTGCCTTCTCCATTATCACCACAAAAAGACGGAGAAATATAGTGCATGTGCAGGATTAAGCTAGACGCTACGTTGTGGATTTAACTGGAGTCTCATCCAAGCAGTATTAGCAATTGTGTGCTAGGTGAGAAAGAAAATCCAAAAAGCAATTCCTCTTTCTTCAAGTTTAAGAGAGCTGTCATAAGTGCAGACCTGGATCTTTGCCTGTGAATTTTTTTGAAGTGATTAAAATGTTAAAAGATTAAAATAGTGGTTCAGTTTGCTCAGGGGTGTTTACATTGTCTCTCTTGAGCAGCTCTATTCAGGTCTTGGTGCCATAGTGCCAAATTCCATTTCCTGCTCTCCCCAAGCCTCCCCAAGTGACTAGTGGATCTTCAAAGGTCACTTGCTGTTCCTGGTGCAGACCAAACCACATCACTCTTTGTCCCTTTGCCCACAAAATTATACTCATGGCTACACAGTAGCTCAAACACAAGGTTTGGGTTTGGCTTGCCATGATTCTTTTCCCAGTTATCTCCCTCACTCTCACTTAGGGCTTGTTACTTAAATATCGTATACAACTGCTGTTTCTTAAACTTATTAGATTTACTCACTTTTGTTCTGTGCAAGAAGCCAATCCTGTCTGATATTTGCAACGACCTTCAGCATCTGTCATAGAGATGAAATTTGCTGTTCTTGTATTTTGTGCAGTAGTCTTTTAATAAAGATATTAAATTAAGGCCCATTCTTGATTAACTGCAGTAAATAACATCCAACTAGGCCAGCAGTGCTTCTTTCAATGTAAGCCTGTTTTCTGCATTCCATTAGTCATTTAGCAGTAAATTAACTTTATTTATTTCTATCAGCTTCACTTGAATGGTAAATTCCTTTTCGATAGCTTTCAGATGCTTACTGCAATACAGATTGGTTACATCAACCATATTTTCCTTGGGGGAAAAAAGTAGCAATCATCTTTACAAAAAGGTTCCCCTCTGAGCTGAAATTAAAGTTCGCTTTGACCGTCCTATGTATAGCCTGGTAAATTAGCTTCTCCCCTCTTGAAATGCTTAGAGAAGAGTTCCAATATCACTGACATTACAAACTCTCAAAGTAAGGGTAACTGTTGCTTGCACTTAGATTAATATATAAAATTTCTTGACATGAGGAAGCTCACTGTTGGTCCAGATTGCAGCTGTGCTTCCCTCTTTCATCTGCTAAATAGGAATTGTGTACTGGAGAGACTAGCAGATGGCCTTACCTCTTTGCCTCCTCACAGTGTGACAAATGGTGGAACAATCAGAAGAGACAGCTAAAGAGACAAGCTCAAGAACAGAAATTAGATTTTTCTCCGAAGTGGAGCACAGTACTTCAGCTTTCCTTTCTCCTGCCAGGGTAAATAGGTGTTCTGTCCTTAAAACTAGTGAGCTTTTTTTATTAACAATGCATAATTTTAACCATCTCTCCTTACCAAATCTATTAAACATTCTAAGATGGCCCATTCAATATTTCAGTCAATTATGTAGATTGTAGAGGTGGGCCTGCCATAAACACAAGCAGTGCAGCACTCAAACTTTTTATAGCTCCCCCTCTGAAGATGTTTTTGTAACATTACATTATTTGCTTTTTGAATTGTTTCCATGCAGTATTATTCTTCAATACCCAACTTCACTGCAGAAAGTATGGTTTGCTGTGAATTGTTTTAGTTTTTGAAAGTTTGTGCTCCTTTTGAGATAAGCCATGCAAGCTTACATTACAATTCTTTTTTGTAAAACACAAAGCAAGAAGTGCTGGATCATGCTACTAAAGGCATAAGAAAAAGAAAAGACAAACCAGAAAGAAAAACTTTGCTACCTTTTGATTCAGATTTTTGGAAATTCCTCTTCTGACACCCAGTGATGCCCCAGAGTAATTCTGGAGCAATGAAGAAAATGACACTTTGCTCATTAATACCAGTTAGCAGCTGCAGAAATGTGGTCACTTTTTCATTTGGATTAACAATGTATATACAATGAGAGCCTTGTAAATAGGTAGGCTGTGCAATCAAATGCTTGGAAAGTAATTAAGCACTCCTTGTTCCCTTTGTTTCTGCCTCAGGCCATTAACTTCCTGTCTTGGTATTCTCAGACAGAAGAAGTCCTGATGTAACTGAGCTTTTGTATGGAATGCTCTGGTGCTGTTTAATGTGCCATGTCCTTTCAATATCTTTTTTATAATATGTGATCCCATGTTATGCAATAAGCAGCTTTCCATCTGCACTACAATACTATGGATTCAGACAGCACAAGATCTGATGTGTTGATCATCACTGCTTCCTGGAATATTTAGTTCAAGCTAATGATTTAGCATATCTGCTAAATTAGTGTTTATGTATCTGTTGGCCACCTGAACTTTAAAATTTGCCTGGCTTTCTTGAAGTCCTCATAGTGGGGTGCTGTATATATATATGAACAAGAAAATAAAATACTCTCAAGCACAAAAATAACTCTTTTCTGAACATTTGCAAAGGGAACCCTTGCTAAGCCAGGCATTGTTTTGAAGATGATATTTTTATTTTTGGATGCTTCCCCACACAGAGTCAGATTTATCAGGGAGGCAGGATCAAAAGAACAAGGGGAAGCCAAAGAAACACTAAGGAAACATCACCCCATACTTACTTTACTGGGGAGCATTTGACCACAGCCAATAAGCCTGATTTCTCCCATCTCTTTAGGAGACTTTTTATCTCTTAAACTTCAGGAGATGATAGATGTTCTGAAGCCTCATGATCATAGCAACCATGCAATATACTATAGCAACATATCTGAGACAAAATTCATGATCTAATGTCCTAATAGCAGAGTTCTTGAAGCAAGGTACTTGAAGGCTCTGAGTTCTTCCATTTTTGGCTTGTGCTGAAAGACAGTATTTTCCCATGCCATTTAATTAGCACACTGAGACCATCAGATTTAATCTTTCCTAGTCACTCTTTTCAGCTCTTGACAATTTCAGTCAAAAAGAAAAATGTGAAATTTCTGTCTTTATGTTTCATTAAATTATAGAATGGATTTTTGAAGTGTCCCTTTGGAAATATTTGTGTTAGATCTCTACTGCCGCATAGACGTGTGTAGGTATGTGCCACTTCAAGTCAGATCCATCAACATGAGGGAGAAAATCACTTGGAAGGTGATGATGTCAAGTCAGTTGAGCAGATAGATTTTAACTGCTGATTCTGTGCAAGATGCAAAACACAATGTGCTTTGTAGAAAATAAGTCCCCATTATCTGCATACTGGTGTATTGATTGACAGAAAATTATGTAACTGAATCTCAATGCATTATACCTTCATGGATACTTTGTACATAAACAAATGTAGAAACTTCTCCAAACCAAATGTGACTGGCCATTTTAAACAAGAAGGCCCACTTTTTTAGACAGCATGCATTGAACAAATGTGGCAGGTATGACCCACCTTTTATTTTCCCCATTTGCTATATGTGCTTTAAGTGCAGAATCTTCCCCAAAAATTATAAAGGGGCTGTGGGGTCACAAAGACCCTTCTATTGTGATCATTTGGTGTTTCCCTACCCAGTCTAGAAATCTGGGGTCTCTTAAAATTTTAGGGAAATAGCATGTTCACTGAGAAATACCTCTGCAGTTGTCAGTCAAAGTCTGTGCAAATTGTAAATCGGCCTTCAGGGGAGGTTGAGGGCCCAAGGGCAACCTCTGCTGCAGCAATGTTTTAGTGTATTCAACTGCCCATCTTCTTTCCTTAGGTCCACAAGAGGTGGCTCAGGTTCCTCCCCTTCTGAGGCTGGGCCAGCGTGGTGGTGCCCATCCTTCTTCCTCAGAGTCCTCAGAGCTGCTCTGCCACTTCAGCTGCTCCTGCTGCTCCTGATCGGGCTGGCATGCCTGGTGCCCATGACCGAGGAGGATTACAGCTGTGCTATGGCAAACAACTTTGCCCGCTCTTTCCACCCCATGCTGAAATACATGAATGGTCCTCCTCCATTGTGAAGGAGGCCTGTGGGACAGCGGGAGCCCTTGCTGGAGTGCTGGCTGGGAGCAAGATGGTTTGAAAGGGGGACAGGGTTCAGCGTGGCAGCTTTACCTATCTGCTGTTGTCACTACTGTGCCCGAATCTTTCTCTGCTGGCACTCGGCTCCAAGCACATCAGTGTATCAGTATCAAAGTGCACAACGTATTACCTGAGTAGCATCATTTCAATACTCGCATCCCGGGTACTAAGGAGGATGCAGTGTATGTGAGGGAAACCTCTTCTGTACAGCTTTTGGGATCTTTTAGCCACTTTATATCCAGGTCATTGCCCTGTACTATGCATAGCCAAGGACTTGATACTGTAGATCCTTTCCTGTGTGCTGCTCCAAACAACCCATTAGCCAGTCTTTGTTAAATACCCTCTCAGTATCTACAGTATACAAAATAACCAATGCTTAAGGAATTTTAGAGCATTTGTAACATACAATTTTAAAGAATCTTGTATGGCAATGTATTATTCCCTGTGGTTTCTGTTTCAGGCATGGTGTTCTAACTTTTGCTTTGGATGCACAAGGTGTAAATCTGAGAAGCACTTTTTTAAGGTTTAAAAAAAAATGGATGTAATAAATAAGATTGCAGAAGTTTTTATGAGGAAAAAATGTTGAATGTCAAGTTGAAAAACAACATATTTATGTATGTACAGTTTGCTAAGCCAAGTTTTGTTTGTATTGATTTCTTTGCATTTATTATAGATACCATAAAATATTTTGTCTACGTGCTTTTTAATGACAACTATGGAAACCTCTGAGTTTAGAATGAGATATGTATGGTATAAAAAAAAAAAAAAGACATCCATATGCGCTTCAAAAAAGAATTAAAAAATTCTGTAACAAATTAATGGCATTAGGTATATGTTTGAATGACAAGATCTGGAAAATGACAGCTGGCAGAATACATGGGAAAGTATCACATTACAAGTTGTGCTGATATTGAAAGCAGTACATGTTTTGGATTAATGACTCATCACTTCAGGTTTTTCTTTTTTTCAAGCTGCTTCTCTAAGTTCCCTCTCACCTGTATGGGGTGTTTTCCATCTATATTTCTGTGTATGCACTCAAATTTTGACAATGTGCAATCTTTGACAATTGGAGTTGTGCCAATCCACACTGAAAGAGATTTTTTCCTGTGGGTATACTGGAAACCTGATATTCTGATATTCCTTATATTCTCCATAGCAGCTCAATACCAAGATAGATTTTTTCATTTTAACCATCATTATTTTAGTGGAATAGGCCCAAAACATAAATGTAAATAGAAGAATAAGAGAACAAATTGAAAACTCATTACCTTTCCAGAACTATTGCAAAAACTTGCAGTCTACTCAATGGCACTCTGCCCAGCTTATCAGTCAGAACTCGACTTTGAAAGAGCAGGATTCTTCTCAATTATGAAAAAAAAAATACAGAGCATGACTCTACACTACTGCTCTTTAATAAGTTGGGGGAATTTGGAGCCATGACACACACAATGTGAATTTTTCTTCTGAGTAAGTGGTCCTGCTTAGAATATATTGGCTTGCATGACAGAAATTACAAGGCCAGAAAAAAATTACAAGCACATTAATTGCTGTTATGTAAAATTACTTTTTGGCATGTCATCCTTTGAGCTGTAATGAGTAGGTGGTCAGAGGTAGGGAACCACAAGCTGAATTCCAGCATTTGGACAAGCCAAATAATGCTTCCTTTCCACATAAGTGTAACATTAACATTTTTGTGTAAAGGTTTATGTATGCTTACGAAATATTTTCAATGTCCAAGACACAAGTCTGGACTGACACAAGTATGTGTTCTTTTCAAGGCTGAGTTTCCTTCATTGCTATTCAGAAGTAATGCTAGTCTAGATTAATATTCATAATCACTCAGTAGACATAGATAAGGAACACACATTTGGGCTACAAGGAAGAGCACATGTGATTTTGCAGAATTGGATCTTGACCCTAAAAACTAACACAAAGAAGGCAAAATTTAAATAAGTGGCCAGGCTCTCCTCAAGTTCCATCCCAAGTGCACCAGTGACTCAGAAGTCTACCTTGAGTTTCAAATCCCCACGAGATACCAGTATATGCATTTATCACCACAGCATGGACGAGGTTAAAGAGGGCAGCTGTAGGGGAAAAAAACACACGCAGAAAGGTATCAAGCGTTGCAGCCAGTGGCACTAGCCAGCTTGGCAGCCTGGGCATCCTTCTCATCCTGATAATAGGATGCTAAAACTCTCTAAGTATGGTGCACAAGTTAGAATCCGAGATGCCCTGTCTCTGTGATAAGCCTGCAACCCAACACCTCTCCTCTTTCTGAAGCGTCACCTACTTGGGCTCTATAAACACAAGGGCTGATTTCTGATGATGCACCTCCAGCCTCTCCTGCAAGGCATGAGGAAAGGGAGGAGCTGCTGAACTCTGGATCTGTATTGACATTGTGTGTTCATGCACAGAGAAAGTAGACTGCCTCTTGGGGAGCTCAGGTCATAACTATGTTGTATTTTTTTCCCCTTTTCTACTGTAGATAAATGCAGTCACTTCTGTAGTGGTTTAATCATCCCCCCAGCTAGACATACCTGGCAACTCAGAACCTTGCTTATTGGCTTTTAGTCACCTCAGAGCTAGTGAGTATTAAAAGGTTGCTCAGTGACTTCAGACTGTAGTATCAAGGCACTGTGTCATTATGCTTGTATTGATAATAGCGAAAAATAATGAGCACGATTTACCCTGGACACTCTGCATCTCTTTGTGGAGCTTCATTTGTGGACCATGCTTTGCAAAATCTGAAGGCAGAGTGATATTTAGAGACATCTGACAATGTTAGGAGTACAAATGATCTCAACTTGACAGAAGTAGTGTGCCCTCATTCCTCATAGCTGTGAGCATGATGATACACATTACCTATTCCCCACCCTGCTCCAGCAGTGATAACAGCTTCTTTCTGCAGCAGATCAATAGTTCCTCACCACTGGTTTGCCACCTTTCCAGCTTTGTGAACACCTTGTGAGCAGTATCGCTCTCTCTGTCCTTAGAGTGTTTTTCTGCATCTGGCTATTGAACGAGAACAAAGATACCGGGCTTGCTTATGATCCGTCATCCCTGGCCCTCAGTCTTGTGTTATTTGTGGTTGAGAGATCTGTTTACAACTGATAGCATCTCTCAACATGCTCATCATCATCATGTGCATCTGAGTGGATGTGTGTCTGTGTGTTCAAAGGCATAACCGACACTGGTTGCTCACAGCCTTCAAACTACAGATACTATCAGGACGTAGCAACTGTAGGAGGATTCTGAGAAATAAGAACAAGTCAAGGAGAAGAAATAAAGATTCTAAAGCAATAGAAACCCCTGATCTGCTCTCTTTCTGGCACTTACCATATTTTATTTGGTGTTTAAAGCAAAAGGTTATGGAAAGGAAAAAGGCAGGATAGTGAGTTTTGATTTAAGCTGGATGGTTTGGCAGCAGTCAAATACAGAATTCATCCAAAGCCGTATTTGTGTAAATTGAGGGGGAAAGGAGAGTGCAGGGAGGGATCTTTTGAGTGATGTGTGTGTTTTATAGGCATAGAGTTCCCTCCATAAGGGAACTTGTCTGGGCACTGGCTGAGTGGTTTTAACGTTGGCAGCATGTTGTGAAATGCACTTTAGCCAGCTGAATTCTGTTGTTGTTGCCCTGTTTGGCTGTAATTAGACCCAGAGGGACATAGGCATGAAACCTGTATTTGGAAGAAGTAGTGCTGTGGTCATAATGTTAAGAACATTAGAATGTTTTAATAATATACCCAAATAAATAAATAAATAGGAATTATTTAGAGAATTCATTTGTCTTCCCAGAAAGGAGTAGATAAAGACCTGTGAAACAAGATATAAGGAAATTAATAACTGCTAGCTGAAGCACTGAAGATTTGTCATAGACTACAGCCTGGTTAAGTGACAGAAATTTGAATTTTGTTAGATGGTAGCTCTAAAAGCAGATAGGAACTGAAAGCTGTAGCATTTATTGTTTGGTGCCAGCTAATATATCATTCCAGAAATAAATTGGCCAAAACTGCTTTGTTCAAGTAAGAATCTATTTAAAGATCTGAAACACAGCAAATGGATTTGACCACAGTGATGTCTGAATTACACTAGCACATTTAACTTTTTGAAAGACAGGATGCTTTAGGAAAGTATTGTCCATTGCTTGTATCAAAAGTGTCCTTGGTGAGGAGGGAGAGGTGCACCAGAGAGCTCTTCTGGTCAGGGATCATGCAGATGTGGATCTAGCTTTCACACAGGTTACTCAAATCAGGCAAATTTTTGTTTTCTGGCATGTTGTAATTCCTGGGAGACTGCTGTTATGGATGTTGAAATTGTGGGGTTTTCCATTCCTTTGTTTTTAGAAAGGATGTTTTAAAAAACAGCTGGAATTAAACCTACCAGAGTCCACTTTTTTATATAAGTGTTCGCAAGGCTATCCAAGTGGAACATTCATGGCTTTAGTTGGTTTTTTTTATAAACAATTCAGAAATTGTCTGGGAAGCTCTCCTGGCCATAGAGCTGCAGGTTAAACCATGGTTGCGATTTTGAGTCTTTCGCTAAACTTGAAGCATGGTGCTGGCAGATACGAAGATTATGGGGGCAAGGGGAGAAAAAAGTACTGGAAGAAAGCATGATGCTGCAGGATTTTGGTTGAGACAGATACATAGATGATAGATAGATTAGATAGATAAATAGATATAGATAGATAGATAGATACATACATACATACATACATATATACATACATACATACATACATACATACATACATACATACATACATACAAACAAGATATTTTTGAGCCATCGTTTCTTTTCCTATTTTCAGATTTAATGTAAGCAAAAATTAATCCTATAAGGACAGACTGGAATTCAGTCTTTCCTGCTTTCCTATGAATGGCTAAACTTTCAAGCTTTTATGTGCTCTCTTACCACAAAATGGACAGCACTTTTTGCTCTTCTCTAGAGTATAACATACTCGTTCATCTTTCCATAGATGACACAGGTTTTGAAGAGGTGAGTGAAAAATATAAAGATTTGCTTCTTGTCACATTCTTTTTTGTTTTAGACAGTAGCATTCAATCTTTTTCTGTAGAGAAGCTAAATACCTTCGTCCCAAAAGCATTGCAAAATCTGGCTAAAAAAATGCCTGAAAACACATCCTTCCCTCATATGCACATTTTTCATCTGGTTAAAATGGCAGCATTCTGAAGTTATTCACAAATGTGTAGGAATGGAAGACAGCAGGAGATAAATTTCATATCACCTGTATGCCAGCAGAAATGAAGACATTAGCAGAATGACACCTAAATACTGCAGCACAAAGTTCTTAAAGGGACATGAAGGCTAGTTAGCCTTGTTCCTGCTGAGCTAAGTGCCAAATGTTATTATTTTGATGGTCAATTTTCCTGAAGACTTCATGACCATTTTTACACTTGAGCCTTTGTGTCTGCAGGATGCCGTGGTGAATGGTAGTAATTGGAGCCTGGCTGGGGATAAGAAAAAACACGTAGGCAGTGACCTTCCTTGGGCATTCTTTCTATGTGAGCACTCTGATGAGTGCTATTTTATATGTTTGGATTTTCCTCTCCTCTTCACTGTGTAGGTGGTGGAGACAAGCAGTGTAATGCAGAGGAAGGCAATGTAAAGCGTTTCCAGCCTAAGTAACAGCTGTTTCATGGGGCTTTTAATGTTGCAGTTTCTGGATAGGAAAAAAAAATTAAATCTATCTTTTAATTTTGGGGAGTAAGCGTGGCCAAAAGGCTCTTAATGAGGGAGGGTGTCCCACTGACTGAGCACACCGAGGCTTTAGCCCATGAAGAAGCTGTTATCATTGCATTATGAGGATTGCCTGAATTAACAGGAAAGAAAAGCAGTCAAATCAAATATTTTCTTTGATTATGCCTTAATTATGTCTTACCTTTCTAATTAGTTAAATAGAATGAAATATGCTAGAACAAGACAGATGTCACTTACATGTCAGCTAAAAGAGAAAGAAGGGGTGTGGGGGATGCCAACTTGTCCAGGATCCCCTGGGGAAGCTGCCCTGTAAGGTGTTGAGTGTGCCGTGAGGGAAGCAAGGATGATGGACTCAGGAGTTTTAGTTGTAAAAGCTTTGCAGTGAAATAGAAAGGAATGTCCTTCCTGTAAAATTTTTCAAATTTCTTCACCCAACAGATGCAAAAAATTGGGAATGAAGCTGGAGTCTCAGATGGCTCCTGACTATTGAAATGTGCCCTGCCTGGCTGCAGAGGCATTAGTCCTGGTGAGTTCTGGGTGTCTGAGCAAGGTGACATCTCATCCACCTTCTCCCATCACAGAAGACACATCATGGGAGGGAATGAAAGTGAGTGAGACTGACTTTTTCCAGTTGTTCCAATTGGCAGGGCAGAAGGCATTGGATGCAAATTAAATTACATGAAATTCCATCTGAGCACAGGCAAAGTATTTTATAACATGAAGATCGTCAAACACTGGAAAAGGGTGCCCAAAGAGGTAGAAGAATCTCCTTTTGTGGCTATTCAACATTCAGCTGGGCATGGCCCTGAGAAATCTGCTTTAGGTGATCCAGCTCTGAGCCAGGAATTGGACTAGACAGTCTCCACTGACACATTCCTAGCTCACTGCACTGTGATGCTGTATTGTCGTGTCATGCTGCAGAAAGAGATGGGCAAAAGAATGCCTAACCTCAGTGTGTAATCCCAGGCAGTGTGCAATCTTTTGCCCATTCAAATTGTTACCATTTTTGCAGAGGTAAGTATGTTCAAACTTTATCTGTGCACTTCTTCATTTAGGAGTGCCATATTTTTGATTTTGCAGTAATATTCTCTGATCTAGCTACTTTTTTTAGGTTAAGTCTCTAAGTTTAGTATTATATAGCAACTGTCTTCTTAAGCCATTTCACCATGAACTGCAAGTGCTTGTTTGGTCCTGTGGTTAAAATGAGATGGTGTTATTTTGAATCAGCATTGAAAATTACTTTATTATGAGCACATGTACATGTGCAATTAGTTCCTATTACTCTGATGTGCCCTTTGTGGCCAAAGAGGCAACTTGGAGTCAAGTTCTTTGTTATGGAAGTGTATTGCAAAACAATGACATTATTTGGAACCATTTTCAGTTCTACTCAGCACTTAAAAATCCCAACAGTCCCCAGCATTCTTTTAAGAGTCTGAATAGGTTATTTGCTTTAACAAGCAAATTAGGTGAAGTTTTGCATGAACTAAGTATATTGCCTGTCTTGTCTTCCATGGAGATGATACTTGGAATCAAGGTAACCATCTTATAATTTTTTCCTTTTAAGTTAAGTACAATGAAACATCGCATAAAACCAAAGAGCTTTTACATATATATTCATATAAGAAAAGAACCTATGAGCCAATAGTCCTATGTTGAACCAGCACAGCACAGAAAATAGATTAAAAATAATCAATATAGGGACCATATTCTCTCCATGTTACTGATAAATATATATACTGCAATTATTGAAATATGTCAGTATGTATGCAAATGCTATAGATTATTGGTTTGATTCTTTGCAAACACCAAATATAATTTTTAGATTGTTTTACAGAATAGAGTTGAGTTCAAAGTGGTCTTATGTCAATAAAAGAATCTTTCATTTCACTTCATCCCTTCCCACTGCCTTAGTCAAGAAATTTTTTTTTCCTGAGGATTTGTTTCACTTGGGAAAGGAGTACTATTTCCCTTGATGTAAGCTAGCTCATGGGAAGTGGCAGCCAGCTAGAGAAGGCTAAACTCACACAATTTTTCTCTTCTGCCATAATCTATTTCACAAGCCAAAATAAGGAATGTAACCAAAATACTAAGAACATTAAAGCACATAAAGTAATAGGTACTTAGCTAACTTTCTTGGTGTCATTAGGATTACTAGAGACTACGCTTAGCTTGGTTTTGACTCTAGATATGGAGTCTCTGATTCTTTACAGGGAAAGAAAGGAAACTAAGAAACAGTTTTAACTTTCATTTAGATGCACAGAAACAGACACATTCTAATTCTTTCAAAAACAGTATACCATTTTGCTGCCCACTGGAAAACAATAAGCAGAGAAGCATATTTTTTAAACACGCAAAATATAACAAAATTGAACAATATATTCTGATTAATTCTTTATTTTCAACATCAAATACATTGATAAAAATCTTGCACCAATCAGGTAGCCTACCATATTTTTTATTTAGACTTTTTTAGAACTTTTTTAGGCGCAAAACAAAGAAAAATATACCTCACCAAAACCAAAGTTGTCAAAAATTTCATATGCATCAGTGAAAGAACAGAATACTTTGACAAATACATTACGACAGCTGAGCCTATACCAAAGAAAGGACTTTGCATTGACAGACTACATAGTGCACACAAAAGCATTGGTTTCATAGTACATACAATAAGGTAATACATAAAGTGGCTTGGTAATGCAAGTCTCGTGACCAGCAGTCTATCCCTTCCTTTTTCAATGGGCACTTTCTGAAGAAACAGACTTCTAATCATAGGCACACAGGATTGCAGAATTTTCTAATTTGCAAGATGGCAGCATATATATTTTTCTAAATTTTTGTTTATTTATTTTCTTTAGGCACATTTGAATGCAAAAGAATGTAATATGTCTCTAACACAGTGCAAAACCAAGTACCCTTTATGGGTAACAATCACTTTGAAAACAACCTTCAGGATATAAGGCTACCTACATTTGAAGGATGAAAGGGAACTGTGAGTAGAAAGAGTAGGATATTAATATTGGGAAAACATTAATTTTAAACTCTGAGATCAATTTGAGATTATGCTACACTTGCAGGTGACAGCAAAGATTGGTTTGTATTAGGATACCATTGTTAACATCACCCTTCTATTACATGTGTTGACTCAATATCTGTACAGCCATATCACGGTTGTAGAGAGCATTGAAAACATCAGTGTCTTTATTCAAAGTAAGAAATGCACTTCACACAAATTCAGCTGAGAATGCCTTATATACAAAACCCATTATGTGTATGTTAAGTTTGCACTCTAATTTTAAAGCAGGAAATTATATACACAGAGGGGCTTGCCATGTTCTCACAAAGCCTGCAATAAGACTAAAGACCTACTGAGGCAGATTTTTTATTTTGTTGGTAGTTTGCTTATTTTTAAACATTTGGCACAGATCTTAAGGAATTAGTTGCTATCAACTGAAATGGATGGAGGCTCCAGTACAAATCCTGATTCATATGAAGGGGATGGTTTGGGTTTTTTTGCTTGCTTTTTTTCAACTCATGGTCCAGGGATCTGCTGACAGTCCTTGCAATATCCTTGGGAGCTCAGTTTGGATTATTTCTTTAATTACACTTTTAAACCCCTCATTGTAGAGAAGAAGAAAAATCATCAAGTGATGTCACTGAAACATAATAGTAAATTTATCACAACACACACCAAAAAACTTTCATTAAACTATGTTACCCGAGTACAAATCTTACTACCCCAACTGGGAGTTTTACCTGAGACAAAGTCTGCAACATTGAGACATGGCTCAAACCACTATAAACCAGAGTAGCTTTCACATATTCAAACACCACATATTCTGATGCCACTAAGTGCTACACATCTCCCTATCTCCTCTTCTACCTCCCAAGCTTTTTGCAATACTTCAGTAACAACCATGTTCTCAAGCACAGCAAATTCGTCTGGTCTATTTATGTTTGCCTTGTGCTGGTATTACATTGCCTATGTTTCTAGAGGGTTTGTTTTTTGATGTTTTTGTTTTTTTAAAAAAATCCATGTATAAACATTACAAAATAATTATTTTGTTAGCTGTCCAGAGACATCACTATGAATGTTTTGGTAAAAGCATAATTAGCTGCCTTGAAAAGTTTTCTTTCTTTTTACATGCTATATATTTTTATGTAATATCCAGCACCAGATATTCAGGTAGTACTGGTTTGTCAGCTGCAAATATAAAGTATATATGTATATATATATACACACACATAAAATAGCATCGTGTGAAATAGCAATTACCAAATGTCAGGCACAATTGTTTGCATACATGAGAGCATCATTCAGAAATACATATGAAAAAGTGATTTTTGTATCATTGACTTTATTTAATCAATTAAATAGCTACATTCATCTGTCTGATATGGGGGCCATCTTTATAGATAACTCTGGGAATGTTACTATATTCATTAAGGTGCTGCTTCAATAAAAAGTTAATGACATGGATCCTAAATCTGCCCCAAGGTAAATTAATGTATTACTGGGAATCACTCTTTCTAGGTTGTCCTTCAGTGTTGCTACCACAAACATGAGAGGACTGGATGAAAGCTAAATTGCTTCCTTGTAAGGCCTGATCCCAGGAAAGAATTAATAGTTATTGTGAGCTGACTGATATTATTCTATATATTCCAAGACACATTATGATACCCTTCTGACTGCTGCATACCACTTCAAATCATGCTTTTCCATCTTCACTAGGAAAATCTCATGAGAGTAAAGGTACTTTCCCTCTATGGTATCATCCAAATCTGACCCTCTGTTGTGAATTGCTCTCTGTGTAATACCTTTTATGCTCCAGGTCAAATTTACACTTGAATCAATGTAATTACTCATTCTGGGATGTAGGAAGGGAGGCATTCATTTAAACCAATTTGTTTTCCAGCTTATGAGCCTGATCTGTGTGTTCTAGCCTAGACAACAAGTTGCATGTACAGACAGTATTTAAAGAGCAGCTCTAATGCACACTAAGTTACAAGTAAATGATGACGGTGTAAGCACATGAATTTAACTACAGGGATTCCTGTGCTCCATTCAGATCTTAGCCTGCACTCATTTCAGTAAACTCATGGTTTTTCTAACACATATGAAAACCAGCCACTAAAAAAACTCAAAATTTCCATTTTCTTTCATGACATTTAGGAGCCTTCAAAAAGCCCTTAGGTACCAAATAAGCGCTCACACACACACACACGTACACACACACGCATGCTTTTACTGAACACACAAAAAGACAAAATCTGCAGCACATTCAGAAAAAAATGACACCATCATATGCATCAAGAAAAGGCCTATGAACTTACGGGGATCGCTTCACATGTTTAGGCTGGCATTTTTCAAGGAATCTTCTCAAACATTGGTAGCATGTAGCTTTAGGCTTTCAAACTGCTCATATCCTCAGATATGTACATTAAACTATTATAGACACCATTATGTACATTCACTAAAGAATTGAATGCTTAATTGAAGCACAGACCTGTCCTATGCCTTGCTGCCTTCACAACTGCTGTGAAACTTGATCTCACCGCACACAGACTCTGCCTGTGTGACAGGGAGTGTGATTAGACATAGGCACTCCTGTATGGCATAACTTGCACTGTTTCCTATATTGAGTTTCTACGGGATATTCCAATCAACATAAAGGTTTCAACTATAGCAAAAGCATCCCTGAACCATTTCACTAGCACTGTTGCCAGCTGCTATGGAGCAGCCTACACATATGCTAGGAAAACAGCCTCACTGGTAGGGCAGTTTCTTCCAACCAGCTGTTGGAATAGTCCCTGGTCCGTGCTAACTCCCAATCTGCACCTGTAAGTCAGAAGTGCAGATAGCACAGGCAAAGTTTATCATTTACATTAGTAAAATAACCCTGGCATATGTAATAATCTCATTCCAGTACCCAGCAAAGTTCCCTGACATTTAGTTTTCTAGCACAGAGTCAGTCAAACAGCAGCACCAACTCCTACTTTGGATAGCATATCATGTGGAGTTCTTCAGTCTCTTTCACGTCTTGTTGAAACTCTTGATGTCAGTGGACCTTTTGTATATTTACAGTTGGTCTGAAGAATCAAACTGATCCTTATGAATATCCTTAGGAGCTACAGATATGCATGGAGAAAGATTCATCTTTCTGAACATGCAGTCCCAAAGTCTGCACCATGTGCGAGGCTCATTGCCTAGTGTTGGTGTCACAGGTGAGCTGGCACTTAGCAGTGATTTTGAAGCATGCCACAACAAGAGCCAAAGAATGCCAAGGCAAAGAAAAACCTGCTGCTCTGACTGCAATGCTAGCCCTCCCACACACAGTTACACCACACTCTGCTAGAGTGGGAAGGGATCATCCCATCCTTCCGTGCCAGTCTCACACTAGCATCCTCACCCCTTGCTTTGTAGCACAACAAAGCACAGGATAGGGGAGGGATTTTTTGTAAATAGTGCTGGATCCTGCATGTGTGTGAAGACCTTTTTAAAAGACCTCATGATTTTTGTAATCATCTGGTCTGATTCAAGAGTAATTCTCTATGTTATCACTGTTTGCCATGTTGTCCTGGATTTACACTCTTGGGCAACAAAATTATTTAGCTTTCTAGGATCAGACAAAATAGCATGCATGCAAAGCAATTCATCTGGAGGATATGGTAAGGGTACCTAAGAGTTTGGTCAGAATGAGGTTGAAAGGGAGTTGTCTGGTGATGTAAGCCAGCGAGGTAAAATACTATAATTCTCAGACAGCAGTTCCTTTATACTGTAGGAAGAGAAGAGGCAGGAATCTCACTCACGAAGGCAGTCTCTCACAGTGCAGCTTCCCTATGGCACACAGATGCCAGGTAACTTTCTCTTTACACTGCCCAAAAAGTCATCCACAATCTCTACCAAATTGCTTCAAAGTTTCAAGCAAGTAAAGGACTAAGTGAGCTCAGGATTTTGGATGGATATTAACAAAGACCACCACTCATGAAGATACCAATATGCATAGGTGGTATGGCCTATCAATTTATAGCAAAATGAATGTATGCTTCAGATGAGGACTTAGTTACCCAAATAAGATGCAAAATTAAATTAAAACACTGCAAATTTTAAATCAAGTTAGCCAGACAATCCTTCCTGGCTATCCATGGTAATGAAATGTCTTCCATTTAGCATAAGCAATCAATTTAGGCAAGCGCTTGACAAACACTCATATGGAAAATGCTGGTGTCTGTTGTCACTGGAGTGTTTTCAAAGGTGGCACTGTAGATGAAATGAAGCATGAGCTAGGTAGAACACTGCTGGTTTCCCATACCACTGTATATGCTGACTCCCATTTATATTGTATTCTGCATATTCTCCTCTTCTTTGCTGCTAACATAGAAAGACTGCAAGGAATGAGATGAGGCTGATGCAGTTGTCAGCTGGCCTCTGTTCTCCTCCTCCACAGGCGCAGCACTCCTGGCTGCTGGCGCATGCAGCCGGTGAGCGTCCAGCATCTCCAGCAAGAGATCGTAGAGCGGAACCACGTTCTTACACTTCATGTTGTACAGGTGCTCCATTCCTTTGTTGCTGTGGGTTGTGATGAAAAAAGTTACTTCCCAAATATGCTATGGGGTGAGAAAGCTACCAGCTAATAATATTTGCTGGGTTCATATAAATCCTGTCTTGTACTAAACAAATGAGCTGTGCATTTGCTGTACACATCTGCTACAGTTAAGCAGACAGGAGCACCTTCAAAGAATTTTACAGACAGATGTAGTCAAGAATGTAGCAGGCTGCTATACATCTAGAATTTCCTTAATTGTACAAAGTCTTTTTAGAGGGAGGGAAAAAAAGATTCATTAACACAAGAACAAAGAAACTCTACAAAATGACACAAGCGAAAAAAACCACATCCCCTGACTTTCCCTCAAAGATCTGTGTATCAGTTCAGGAGGTAAAATCTGCATGTTTCAGCTTTAGTAGCTAAGATGTGGCGTTTAATTTAAATTTCATTAGCTGAAATAATGAAAATTAAAATCTGTGTAGCAACACTTCCTGTGATTTCATAATAATAAAATCTATAGCATATCTTCATAGAAATTTATCCTCTTAACACCTCATCCACTGATAAGTTACCTTAAAACACAATTTGGGAGAATCATTTGCTACAATTACTAATAGGGTGTTAGGCAGCTCACCTCTGATTAGCAAAAGAAATGGTCCTCTAGACTGGAATTTAGTTTTTCTGCATTTATCCTCATCCGTACAATTCACATAATAATCCTAAATCTCTTTTCTAAAGTGAATTGCAATCATGACACTTGTGAGAAGTGGCTGCATAGAAGTCAAAGTTTTATTGAATCTTATAGGAGACTGAAGTTTGCAGAGCTAGGCTACTCCTACATTAATATTCTACTCAGTGCTTTCCATACACCTGTGTCCAGGTCTGGGGTCCTCACCCTGAGAAAGACTTAGACCTGTTAGAACAGGTTCAGAGCAGGGCCATGCAGGTGATGCAAGGGCTGGAGCATCTCTGCTATGGGGAAAGGCTTAGAGAACTGGAGTTGTTCAGCCTGGAGAAGAGAAGGCTCCTTACACAAGCCTCCCAGAACCTGAAGGGCACCTAGAAGAGAGCTGGAGAGGGACTTTGTACAGAGGCAGGCACCTACAGGACAAGGCAGGGTGGCTTCAAACGGAAAGAGGGCAGGTCTAGATTAGGTGCCAGGAAGAAATTCTGTACTGAGAGTTGTGATGCACTAGAAGAGGTTGTCCAGAAAAAAATATGGGTCTCCCATCCCTGGAAGTGCTCAAGGCCAGCTTGGACAGGCCTCTGAGCAACCTGGTCTAACTGGAAGGCATCCTTGCCCATATCTGGAGGGTTGGAACTAGATCATCTTTAAGTTCCCTTCCAAACCAGGCCATTCTGTGATACAAGACACACAAGATTAAAAAGCAGATACTCCTTTCTATCAAACTATCAACATTATCAAACAAAAGGCAGAGGAAAAGACAACTAGAAGGGATAAATGGGGTAAATATTTGCATATGGAATTTTTTTCCTTTTCTTTTTGGTAACAGCCCCTCACACAGTTTGCCCTCCCATCCATGAAGGAGAAGCGTGTATGTGCATTTGTGACGCCTCTCTTGCATGCGCCCAGTACAGAGGTGCTGACTGTGTGTTTGCTCTCACCTCATGTGTCTGATGTGAGAGAGGATGAGGAGGAGCTGAGCCAGTCGTCTGTGTTGCTGCTGCAGAGAAAGACCTGACTTAGCCATTAAGTGGATCAGAGTATCTGTGATTTTGTCCAGGACACGGTGAATATAGTCTTTCTCTTCCAGAGATTTCAAGGTGCTGGAAAGAAAAGTGTACACACCTAGAGTAGGAGGCAGAAAGAAAAGAAACAAACCACAGACACAAATTACTTTGGTGGACTCAGAGTTGCCCAAGGTATGCCCTGTGCTGCCTCTTAAGCTGTGTTAAGCCACAAGATCTGACTGTGTGCCAGCTTTCTTGCTTGGCAGCCGCGTCGCTGCTCTGAATGACCCTGGAGCATGGATTTGGGCACTATGGGAAAAGCAGGAGGAGGAAGACAATGCCACTTTCCTGCCTGGGTCTCACCAAGGTCTGCACCAGGTGCTGGGTGACACCTGCAGCTAGTCCTATCTGTGGGCTGTGCTCTTTTCCTGGTCACTTGGCTCTGAAACCTTGAGGAGATGCTGTACCCCTTGAGAGCTCTGGAATGCTTATCGACCAACCAACCCAAGCTTTCAGCAGATTTTGCCATTTCCCCTGTTGTTTAATATTTGATTTTTAGTGATTTTTCTAGACAGTTTAGAACTGAAAAATGTTACCACAAAACATGCAAACAAAACCAGGGGTTTTTAAGGGATATTTGCCTCAACAAAACTCTCCCAACCAAGGAAAAGCCTTGAAAGGTGTGCTCCTTCATCTGCAAAGCTGACTCTGCTTTAAAAACAGCATCCAAATCAGCTTGTGCAAATTTAGCTGTCTTGAATAGCTTACTGCTGAAAGTGAGCAGCCTGAAGGTTTGGATCAGATAAAAATTTTTCCAGAAGACAAAACACCTTAAAACTCCCTCTCCAACAGCCCCTCTACATCACCTACAAGAGTCTCTAATCCAGGCATAAGAGTTTTTGCTGCTAGTAAATCTTGAGAGCATGAAGCACATCAGCTTTCAAAATGGAAAAATCTAAACTATTTTGGGCTGTTTTATCTTGATTTTTTTCTGGACAACAACACACAGCCAATGTCAGTCAGGTCACAACAACACTGTGCTGCCAAAAGAGAGTTGTTGCATTCAGCATCAGTTTTTAAATCTTTTGGACTGAACCAATAACTCTAAACAGGTCATATTGCCATAATCCAGTCCTGAGGCACCAGAGGTTCAAGATGTGCATACAGGAATACAATCAAACTGGCTGCATCATAGAGTGTTCATTGTCTTGTGTCTATAACAGACTTGACAAATCCTGTGCTTTGGCCCTTCTGCATCAGCTTACAGAGCAAAGAAGAGATCTGGATTTTGTCCTTGGGAAAAAAATGGTTTCTGGAATAATTTTTTGTTTTTCTTTTCTTTAAAGCATCGTATATAGCAGAACATGGAATGCAGTTATTAAACTATTAAGAATAAAAGACATTCAGACACTAGTATGCACACACAGACAGACATGTATGCTATAGCTTGTCAGATATATATGGTATAGCTTGTTTTTATTGTTTGCAGCCTTGGGGCTACCACTGGATGTGAAGATACTTTGCTGTGCATCTGAGCAGTCAGGGAGTTGAGATTTTTTTTAACATCTTGGCCTCCCTCATCTCCTCACATCATCTGGGTACTTCAAGGACCTGACACCTACAACTACTGTAACCTACAAGTAGTTTTTATGGGTTTTTTTCTTCTCTGCTAAAAAGAAACGTAAATGTGTCTGTGAATGTGAGTGTCTCTGGGAAAGAGTAACCAAGAAAACTGTTTTAAAAGGATAACTCCAACATAGTACAACTTCTGAAAATTATCAGTCAGAGTGCTTAATTTTGGTAATGGGTACTGCTTCAAATTTGATATAGATAATTAGCACAGTGGCCTCTTTTCTCACATGGCTTTTCATAGCTATTATTATTATTTTTACTGAAATTCACAAACAGAAACTGGTCCCTGGGCTTTTCTCAGCTGAACATTTTTCACCTGACTCTGAACACCCTCACATATGCCTATTGACAATACAAGGTTTGATAGCTTAACACATACTGTAGGGGCAAGATTCTTAAATATCACTGGCAGAGCACAATCCACTAGAAGGAAACATTAATCTCATAAATGCACAGTGCCTCCAGAGAAGTTTGCTTCAGCCACAGGAAACTATCGTGCTCTTGCAGCAATACCCCATAGCTTCATATTACTGAAACTAGTAAAAGAAAGTAATATTTAGGAGGAATTTTTTTCTCACCTAGGTCTAGTCTAGAAGCTATTAAAAACTGTAAATCACAAAAGCACTCCCCAATAACTGTAGAGAATTCAGGCAACTGCCAGTCAATAACTGCCAAGAAAAATTATGTTTAGTTTTCCTTTCTACACCCTCACAGTGATTGCTCCTGCCCCAGGCCATTGACCAGAAATTGCCCCAAAAAAATGCTGGCTATCACACACTCATACACATCCAAGCAGAGCTTTCAAATGAGGGTGCAGAAAATTGCCTTAGCAAAGTGAAATTTAAGTCTCCAAGGCCTTTCTAAGCCTAAATTCAATAGCTACCAGGTTGATTTCAAGCTCTCTCTGTAGGTCAGTGTTGTAAAACCTAACAGGCACAAGAACAGAGAAAGCACCACCCCACAAAGCAAGCAAAGCCTGTTGGTTCACACCCATAACACATACCAGAACAGGATCCCTTGGGGGCTGCTGTGCTACCATGCCAGCCCTTGGCATACACTGATAGAATTTTATATCTCTCACCATATATAATTATATATTTGTTGCATTTTACTGTAGAAGAGAATGTCCTCAAAATCTTTTCTGCCACAATAAAACCCAGTTTAAAGTATTTTTTTACACTTAGAGTTCAGGCTCACAGAACAAGACCCAATTGCTCTGTAGTATTCCACTACACCCAATTGCTGTGAAGCTGTAGCAAAACAGGCTGAGGTACGAGGAAACTCATCTCTGTACCATGCACTCCTGGAATCATCCAGCCCCCGAAATAAAGAAATAAATAAGCACAATCTATCAGGAACAGAAAAACATCAGGAGAAAAGAATAACAAACAGTCACGTGGAACAATGTATCAGGAGGTCTCCTGTATTCATCAAATCAACAAAATCTTTCCAGCTCTGTGGACTAACCAGCTAACTAATTAGGTTAATCGGCTTCTAAGGCAGATGTGACCTACATCGTCATGTGCAAAATGAAAGCCTGTTGCTTTGCCACATGGCATAGGGTGGTACCATCCACAAATTCCTCTTCTCTGATACGCTCAAAAGTAAAACATCTGGCATCATGTTGCCCTTTCATGATTCTAATATTTATTTTCCAATGTGAAGTAATAGCTAAATGTGGTTTTCAAAAACATTACTTTGCTTTTTAGTCAAAAGATTTATTGCTGCAGCTTTAGAGGGGGACCTCTAGGTTTGCTATTTAGATGGACACAATTATGTCCTTGTTGTTACAGACATGCTGTCACCTTAATATCTCAGGAAAACTGCGGTAGTAGCATAAGCATCTACCTTGGTTTACAAACAAAACCTTCCATCCTTTCTACATGCACTGAGCAAATCTAAAAAAAAAAATAAAAACTAAAACTGTGTTTTGTCCAAAATTGCATGGAAAAGGAGTGCAAAGATATTAAACAGCCTTGCAACATGTTGCAAAACTAGAAATGTCCAACAAAGGCAATAAACAACTCTACTTCATGTGAGGAGACTTCCAGATGTCCAAGTATTTAATAAAGAAATGTTTGTGTATACTCACTGAATTAAATCCACACAACGATTTAGAATGCAAATGTGGACTGGTTTTAAACACAAGATGCAGCATAATCAGTCCTATTTGTTTAATTAATCCACTTGTTTAAACCATTTTGAGATCTGCTGGTTTAATCACATGCATATATAATGCAGACAGCATAATAAGCCAAAAATTGATTGTGTGTTTATCTGCTGTTTCTTTAGCAATAGTTCTTTAGTACTTCTGTGAAGTAAAGCAACTCCAGAAGACATTTTAGAGGATCTATGCCAAACTCTTACACAACTCTTACACATACCCCAAATTATGCTACTTATCTCTGTATTGCAGTCTAATGCCTCTTAATTTGAGCATCTTGAGAGTCTGATAGTCAGAAACTTGTATCCACATTCCCACTGTCTAGTTATGAAAGTAGTTTGTTGTAGGAATACAAATATTGAAATGTACCTTTATGCATAAAGATAATGACATCCAATATGGACATACATTCTGTGGCCATATATGCATTGAGTTTACAGTCGTCCCATCTCTCATGTGCAGAAGGAAATCTGCCTCTGATTATCACTGACTTCACTTGCTATATATATTTTTTTCCTTTTTTTTAACAGTTTTTCTTTAGGGGAATCTTGTAATGAAAAAATCCCATTAACACAGTGAGATGTGCTTATGAAGAATAGCTGGTGATGCCTGGCAGGGCTTTGTTGGAATAAAATATTTTAACACTAAATACAAATAGGCACATGACTTAAATTTTTCATGTTCAAGACATGAACATCTAATTTCTTGTATTCAAACCTCCACTTCCATTGTTTCTAACTGAAATTCAAAATATTTATAAATCAATTACATATTCTGGATTTATTTAAGAAGTTTAAATATATTAGCTTTGAATACATTACCTAAATTCTGGAGGAGCATTACTTTCCAGGAAGAATATTTAACTCTAGGAAATATTCTGTTACAATTATCAGGGCAATAAAAGAAAAATAAAATGTCAAACAGTAATTAGAATTGTCTTATCCTGGCAATTAAGGTAAGACAATAGCCCTTCATTCCTAATATGCCACTTGCTTTCCTAAAATGTTACTTTTTGACAATTGGTTACAGCCACAACAAAACCTGAACCACATTCATATCTCATAAAACATGCATAAGGCATTTTGTATTAGATTGTACAAATACACAATTTTGCTTGGACTTGGAGGAGACAACATCCAAGCTTCCATAAAGAAAAGTGCCTGATCAATAAAGCAATATCTGCTGTGTTTACAGTTAGCCTTTGATGCCATTATCCTAAATTTCTTTTTCCTGCAATTTGGGCAAGTGATCTGTTAGACATCTGGTTAAAATGGAAACAGAGCCCTCCACATCTGTTTTCTCTAGAGGGTGGTACCATCCACAAGTTCAAAGGCAACAGGAAAAAGTTTACAAGTGAGTAAATCCTCAGCATTGGGGAACTCTGGCATCTTTAGTCACCAGGTAACAGCTTAGCAGGGAATTTTCTCTAAAGTTTTTAGTTTGGTGCCTACATTATTATTTTAGATGTCTATCATTTCTATGAGAATACCATGGGTCTCATTTATGCATATAAAAACAAATTTTCTGGAGTTTTTTTTTTTTCATTTCAAACTGAAGAGTCCTCTGGTGTGCAACAGAAGTTTTCTGTCACAAGTTTCAAGTTAAATTTGCTTTTTCAATCATCTCATGTAAAATTCAAATCATCATAACCTTACACTTGTTATCGAGTCATCTATTTTTGAAGTGTACCTCAGGATGAGATTTACAGCCAAAAACTATAAAGGAAGTGGAAAGTGATTACATTTATTTTTACATTTATTTTGCCATACATTATTATTACATTTATTTTGCCATCACCTGAGCACTGCACTTAAGCACTGCCTTGGGGTGCCATGTGTGTGGTTCCAGCTACTTCAGTGTCTTGTAAGCAGAGTTTTAAGACCTGGCAACATCTAGTACAAAGCATTCCTCTGACCACTCTCCACATCAGCTGCACACAATGTGTCACCTACTCACTGCATCCATTTTCTGGGCCTCATCTACATCACCAGACAGATTTGACTGTGCCCACCCCTGCCTGGAGGTCCTGCCTGCATCTGTGTTGAAAACTCCTTTCCCATGCTGCTGTCTCAAAATGAAAATGCCATTAAGGACAGCAAGCAGTGTTCAACCACATGCCAAAGCAGCCACAATTACCCAAGTGACAGCAAAGCACACAACTTACCAGAATTGAGCAGGATGATGGACTTAAGGCACACGAATTCCTCCCCCTGAAGGTTCATCATGCGAAACCGAGCAGCAGTAGCCAGCAGCATGTCAAAAATTTCCACCATGCCCTCTACACATTTCCCTTGATTCCTGTGTGAATACCATCAATGGGGAGACATTCAGTTTTAACCTGATGGTGCCATGAGTTTTTCATCCCCTTGGACCAACACCCTCCAATTTGATTTCATCAGCTCATGAGCAAGTATGTGACTTCCTACTCTGGGCACATTTGATATATATGTGATTACAAAAGCACTGTTTCAAGTAAAATAAATAAACTATTAAGTACTGTATTTCCAAAAAAAATCATTTTCAGGAACCCATCACATTACTGTGGTGGAACATTTTAAATTGACTCAACCAAATCCTTATATTGAGAAAAAGATTTGTTTGAAACTACATTTTGATTTGTGTGGATGTGTTCTGCTTTTGTTACTTTGCTTCCTCTTTCTTTTCTTTTTTTCTAACCATTTGCACTTGTTTATAGCTGCCTGAGCAACCTTTAATGTTCCAACACACTTCTGTTGATGTTCAATATCAACATAATCCCTCCTTAAAGAACAAGCTTATTCATGAGTTCAGGAAGGACCTAAGAGGCCAAAATCATGCCTGAATGACTGATTAAAACTATCAGTTCACTCCACATATCGAGTAACTTTTTACATTGCAGCATTAAACAAAGCTGAAATTTGGAACATCTCAAAGCGTTCATTAGCAAAGGCGATTAACCATCTCCTTCTGCTCACAGTGCGAGGCATTCCCACTCACTAATTATCATCTTGCCCATTCAACCTGCAGCTGAAGAATTAATGCAGATTGTAATTATTTCTTGTGAAAACTTAGTCTGCAGATCTTTTGGTCATTTTCATTGCTACCCTTTACAAGAACTACCTATTTTTACTTCTATTAGGCCTTCCTGAGTGAAATTTTAATATGTAAGACTTAATGAGTGATCCGATCTGCTGTTTAGAAATATAATACTTTTTAGATATGGCTTTCATCAACAAAATTAAGAAGATAATTGCTACAGGAAGATGCAAAAGAAATTTCAAATGAACAGACTATGATTTATAACATGAAAAAGATTGAGCATGTCCCAATTTCACTGTCACAAGAAACCTGCCCAGACAGAGATACCTGCCTCAGGTCTTAACACAGATGTGCTGTTGAGAACCTGTAGCTGATGTCTGAACCCACACCAGAGCCTCAGACAAAGAAGACATCTTCCCTTCTGATTGAAGACTGAGAAACCTCTTTGCACTCTCCAAGGCATCAGGACAAGTTCCAATGCTTCTGATACAATATATTTGCATACAACTATAGAAATATTAATTTCCTCTCTGTAGAGTTTAGCACAGAGGGCTAGAATCCTTTAATAGTTTTGCATAAACTTAAATAATGCCCAAAAAATCTTTGTTTAAGAATTTAGTATTTCAGGATTTTGTAGAAAGAAAAAGCTTCTGTGGATCCAAAAAATGACCCATATTAAAAAAAAAAAAAAAAACAAAAAAAAAAAACATTTTCATGCCTGACTGAGATATTTATTTCATTCCTAGTATCCACAAAACTACTGCAGCCAGCATTCAAAGCTTTTCAAAATATTACACAGTCTGAACAAATTGCAAAATTTGCATGTCTACCATCAGAGGAAAAAAAAGAAACAGGAAGTTATTTGTAAACTCAGACTATTTAACATGCCTTATGGTGCCTCCTGAGACAGACATTTTGATAGCAAGTAAGAATTATTCCAAACCTCCTAGAAAAACAGTTCAATAGACTGTAGTTTACATAATCAATATTCCAATCATGATTCTCTTGCTGACAAGTATGACCTCTGGACAAAAACCCCTAATCTAGCAACACATATTCCATGCCCTTAAACCAACATGTGTGCCTCTTTCCCGTCAACTGAACTCGCATGATAGAGGATTAACAAAAATTATGTAAATTTAAGAGATTCTAAATTGTTCCCAATCTCTTTTGTTTTGCTACCTCCTGTGTGTGTGAAAGACCAGGCTACTCCATAATGGGAAAAAAAAAAAAAAAGAAAAAGAAAAAAAAAAGAGTACGTCTTTAGGTAATATACTTTAGGTGAAGTTATATACCCAGCCTTAGGTATTCACGAGTGCATGGAATGGCCTAGAAATTTCTGCTTTATTTTCAGAGGTAAGAAGCAGATCCAACTCTATTGACATCAATGGAAACTGCAGGAGTTACAATTGTTGCTACAACAATTATTTTATTTGTGAATCCACAAGAAACTATCTGGAACTGGAATCTCCGGTTCTCCTGAATTGCCTTCTAACTTTCTAACATAAGCTGATAATACCATCACATCTTCACAGTTATGTGTTATGTTGATAGGGAAGCCTATCTTTGAAAGCCTAGAGAAGATTTTCCTGAAAGACAAATTAGCAATAGATTCAACAGTTATCTTTTTCCTAGCATCTTGCTGTTGTCTTTGTGTACTGTCATCTTACTGAAGAGAAGACAACAAAAGCTTGTTTACTGCACCGCATCACAGTGTATTCTCAGAAGAATCCTTTAAATTTGGCCATTGGGGAATGTTTAGGAAAGTTAAATCATTTTAATTAAAGGTCTTAAGTGGCTGCATAAAAGTACTGTGTGTATTAACTTCAGTAGGTCTCTAGAATCACAGCACCATCCAGGCCAGAGGGCAATTCAGAATGACTTTAGCCCAGCCTCCCACTCAAAGTGGGGTCAGCTCACTCAAGTCTTTATGCAATGCTGGTCTTGAAAATCTTCAAGGCTGGAGACTGCACAACCTCTCTCAGCGTAATTACTTTCATCATCATGTGTTTTTCCTCCCCTACATCCAATCAAAACCTTCTCTGCTTCATTTTATTACTCCCATTTCTCAATCTCCCATCAGGCATTTCAATAAAGAGCCTTGATAACCTCCTTGTAGACTGTAGGTCATGCAGACTTAAAAGCCCTTTCTCCTCCAGGCTGAACAAATCCACTTCTTCCAGCCACAAGGCAAGGGATCTGGCCTTGGTGGCTCTCCACTATGTTTGCTGATGTTTATTAATATATTTCCTGTAATAACTGGATTTGATACTCCAGATAATGAGTGCCACATAAAAGGAGGATAATGGCTTCCCTCCCTCTAATGCCTGTGCTACCAGTGATAGTGGTACCAGTACCAGGGCTATTCCACTGTATGTAGGAGTAAGAATCTAAATTTTATTTCCGTCTTGGGAAAAACCCAGACAGCAGGAATACCTTTAACAGAAACACAAGATCAAGTAAACATTAATAATGAAGAGTGCTTGGGTGAAGGGAAGAGGGACTCAAGGACTCAATGGATGTTCTCATCAAACTTTTAATTCAAAGGGAAATGCTACAGACAGATGCACCACCAAAACAAAGTCTGACTGTGTTTGTTATCTCTCTTTCTTCCACCATGGTACTTCATTTGTTAAAAAGGGACTGCCAAGAACAGATGGGATATACAAGGCTAGGACAAGGAATATCAGCTTCAAAAGTAGACCTAGTAACTTTGTGATGAAGCCTCTAAATAAGGCTTGGATGTGCTCATAAGCCTAAAGGTAGGTTAGGAAACAGGGGAGAGGTAAACTGCAAGGATAACATTCACATTCCCAGTTAGAAAGGAGGGCATTCACAGATTTAAATCAAATGCTCATGCTCTGACACAGGAGAACAGTAAGTCTGTGCACAGACTTCCAAACAAGAGAAGATCTTTATACACATTAATGTGTTCTATATAAACTAGTTCTATTAATAGACATTGGTAGAAGCTTTCTACTCCTATGTGAAGCAATGCACTAAAGCAGCTTAAGGAGGTGGGATGTCAGGAAAGCTCCATCTGCAAGGATTTAAGACCAAATCAAGAACATCTACCTGGATGCCTTAAATACTGCCAGACAGGTATTATAGGGCTATTTAACTAACAGAGGATTCCACCTTTTCTCAGTGCTGTGCTTTTATCAATCATTAAAATATGAGAAAATTGTTATCAGTAGAGAAATTTTTCTTCAGACCATCCTGCATTTAATCAGTAACACCAAGGGATTGTGGAAAAAGTTTGGGGAAAAGTAAGCGGGAAAAGAATTAAAATCTGAAAAAAAAATAACCCCAAAGCTCTAGAACAAAAAAAAAAAAAACAATCTGAAAAGAACAGGAATCAAAGAGAAAAGCAGAAACTACCAAGTGAAAAGTAAATCAAAGTGTTAGATGTGAATCCTGCTGATAAAGAGAAATGCTTATTCTTCTGTCATTATCCAGGAGGTTAGATATCATTTTGCTTTGGAAAAAATGTTGTTTTGATCACAGCAATCTAGCTTGTACCTTCACACAAATCAACCAATAAGTGGTAGGTGGTCATGAAGGTGTGAGCTATGGAAAGGGACAAATTAATTATATGCAGGTCTTGTTCTACAGTTCTGTTTTGTTGTTTCCCACGTGTTTTTTGGTTTGGGAATTAGGGAATTTTTTAATTGACTTGTTCATAAGCCTTCAGAGGTAGAAGGCTCATCCCATTTCTCCCTGAATACTGGTTTTCAATTAACACACCCTGGGGAACTTGATAGACTACAGCCAATGGCTGGCATTACAGCCTGCTCTTCCAGAGCGTGTTGTTAAGACCCCATTGTTTCTTAGTCAATATCAGCTTAAGAACAAAGATTTGGGTCAATTGCTGGCTAAAACATATTCAAAATTTATAAAATTAATCCAATATTTAAAAGTCATAATTGAAAAATATATGTTATAAATACGAAGCAGCACATTTATAAATAAAAAAGAGGAAAAAAAATATTCATTTTGAAGTTATTTTCACCTAGAGTTAGTCACAGGTTACCAGAGCTGCAGATGTTGCATGAATTATCTGGAAATAATCTAGTTCAGTGGCTCTGCTCAGGCCTATATATTGCTGGGTTTTCAGTATCTCCAAGGACTGAGACTCCTCTTGTTCCTGTCACTGAGAAGAATCTTCCACTGCCTTCTTTACTTCCTCTCTCCATCAGATATTTATCAGACCTGAGTCTTCTCAGATTCTCCTTGTTACAAAAGTTGTTCCAGTCCACTCTTTGTGGCCTGTCACTGGC